TTGATGTATCTTGCTGGTAGCTGACATACTTAGCTGTAAGACACACATACCTGATCAACGTCTCGTCGTTCTTCTACTTGTCCCACTCCCTTGGCCAAACTCTGCAAAAGTCCCAAGGCGCCGGCAAAGAGTATCAAGTGAGTTCATCAAACTAATTGATGTATTTTGCTGGTAGCTGACATGCTTAGCTGTAAGACAGACAGACCTGATCAACCTCTCGTCGCTCTTCTACTTTTCCCACTCCCTTGGCCAAATTCTGCAAAAATCACAAGGCGCTGTTGTATTATATTAAATTTAATTGCAATTGATTTCAATTGCATTGATTTTTTAATCTGATTGAATTTCTAATTGAAATGTAATGGATTAACCAGCCAGCTTACCTATTTCTACCGCCAAGCAGTAATTTGAGCATAACTGCGTTCCGGTTTCGAAGGGTAAGAGTGCTGGTGAAATTACAGGCACTTGGGACTCATCAATTGATGTTTCAGGGCGACGGGCGTAGTGGCAGTGTCCCAAAGATCTTAGCGATTTAAAGCTCTGAATGGCACTGCAACTGTTATGGACAGGCGTGTCGCTTACCACCAGACGCATGTTTTGTTCGTCCCGTCACTTAGTATTATAAAAAAAGTTGACAGCTGTTAGAGAGAGCTAACCAACCTCTCTTGGTTATTCTACTTGTTCCACTGCTATAGTCAAATTGTGCAAGAGTTCCAAATCCCCAATGTTTTAGGCTCAACGCCCACCACCAGACAAAATAATTGAAAGCATGTTAAAAACACGTATATTTTCATATTAACTTAACACAAAAAATCACAAGAAAAAATAAATCTATATTAATTTATTTTCTCTCAGTCAAATCTCAGGTCAAGGAAAAAGTTCGTGAGGTTTTTTCGCCAAATTACAAATATGTTTTTCTTATATTTTAATTAAACTAAATGTATGCCATTTTGATCGATCACCTTTTGCCATTTTTCTGGTAAAACCATTATACCATCAGCGTAAAACTTCTGGGATTTCTGGGCGAAAAACTGAACTAAATGATTTTCGCAGGCCTCTTTTGAAGTCAACTTTACACCATTAAGCGAGTTCTGTAGAGAGCGAAACAAATGATAGGCGGACGGGGCAAGGTCCGGGCTGTATGGTGGATGCATCAAAACTGTCCAGCCAAGGTCTGTCAATTTTTGCCGAGTCGTTAAATATGTACCTATGTGGTCTCGCATTGTCTTGAAGACGACACCTTTTCTATTGATCAACTCTGGCTGCTTTTGCTCAATTGCACACTTTAGTCGCATTAGTTGTTGACAATAAAGAGTAGAGTCAATCGTCTGACCTGGTTGGAGCAGGGCATAATGCACGATACCTTTCCTATCCCACTAAACACAAAGCATTATCTCGCGTGGCGTCAATCCACGCTTGGACACCGTTTGTGCAGCTTCATTCATCTTGGACCACGATCTTTGTGTCACATTATTGTCGTATGTGATCCGTTTATCATCGCCCGTTATTAATCTCTTCAAAAATGGCTCTATTTCATTTCGTTTGAGCAGCGATTCGCAGTTGTTAATTCGGTCCATTAAATTTTTCACTGACAATTCATGAGGTACCCAAATATCGAGTTTCTCTTTGTATCCAGGCTTATGTAAATGGTTTAAAACTGTTTTTTGATCAATGTTTAGTTCCGCAGCGATGTCGTAAGATGAAATGCGCCGGTCTTCCTGAATTTTTTAAGAATTTCATCAACTTTTTCAACGGTTGGTCGACCAGAACGTGACGCGTCCTTAATATTGAAATTTCCGAAGCGAAAACGAGCAAACCATTTGTGTGCTGCTGATTTTGATACAGCATCTTCACCATAAACACTACAATTTTTTTGTACAAGCCTGCGAAGCCTTGATCAAAGTGATATTGTAAAATACATCGGATTTTTTCACAATTTTGGCTCATTTTTAAAACGCAATTACTTTCGCGCCGAATTGAGAAATGTAATTTTTTTTTAAATAATCTATGGACTCTCACTTTTTAATTAAATGCTCTATAACATGGCTTGATAGGATGAGTATTGATAAAATTATGCGACTCTAAAGCCAACTATTGTAAAAAACGACACGAACTTCTTCCTTCACCTTATATTTGTAGTTTTTTTATATGGATATTTCCCATCTCCCAATTCCTTCCGAGGCCCCTCCCAAGGACTCTTTAGCGCCTATTGGGGGGCGATAGGGACCACTTTGGGAAACTATGATTTACGCTATAGAATACGTAGTGCTTATAAAAAATATTGAACAACGTTATGGCCTTAGGCAAGAAAATGAAGACAACATTTTAATTTCTTTACATGTGCCATCGTATATTCCGAGATCAGGAAAAATACCTTAATATATTCGAAATTCCATCTTCAATTTCCAGCAAATAATTGGATCCCTGTTTACATCTCCGAGGTGTTTACATTCTATTTATAACGTAAAAGGTTTTTCAACTAGAATTTTGTTTTGTAAATCAAAATAAAACAATAAATTTAGATGACAATGATGAATGAATGAAATTCGTGAAGTGATTAACTAATAGACCCACCATTTTGTCAAAAAGTGATTAAAAACTTTGATGAAAGAATCGACATCTGTAACTGTGGTAGTGGTGGATATTATCAGATATCATTTTCATTCATAATTTCACAATAAAAATTTAAATCGTTGTCATCTAAATTTATTGTTTTATTTTAATTTACAAAACAAAGTTCTTGTTGAAAAACCCTTTATAAGTGGTTTGCAATATCTCCCTCCAACGTTATAGGCTATTTATATTTACCACTCCGTTATAAAAACTGCGTGTGTCGTTATGACAATGTTGATTTGTTCACAGGCCTTTTTCGGCACATCGGACACAATCTGAAGAAGACATCTACAAAGATCTGCAATCTGTGTAAGTATTTAAATTATAAGCACGTATTTTTTCATAATGCTAGAATAATTATGTAAACTATCGGAGCGTAACTCGGAAGGAGGCATGCGCAACAGATTGACTACCTACTCATGACTTGAATAGAGAAATCCTGTAATGTGACACGAAAAATGTCACAACAGTGTAGAGGAATGTTTTTAAAGAACTTATAATTTTATTTTTTATTGACATTACTTTTATGACAATATTTTATATAACTTTTTTTTGTTATACTTTTTTGTTTTATATTAATTATTATTGTTGTTTATATTAGTGACGATCATGTTATCCCTTGGTATTGTATTTTAAATTGTGATATTGTGACATTGATAATATGAAATAAAAGGTTATTATTGTGTAGGTATTGCATTAGCGACATAATATTACCTAATTTGATTGCGGGCTCCTTAGAGCGATGCCACACGATGCGTTGCGTCGGCGTTGCGACGACGTTGCTTTGTGCCGCTGCGTTGTATTACATATTATTATAAACATGAACTACATGCCACATGGTGCGTTGAACAGGCGACGGATCGCATGCACATCGGACAAGGGTCCAGGAGCACGGAGCTATTGCTCGTATGGCACTCGGTGCGTTGAAATCACAGCGTTGCGACGACGCAACGCACCGCCCGCTCCCGTGTGGCATCACTTTTAATTGTAACATTACAATTATTTTTTAAATTACTATCATGTCAATTATAATTTCATAAAAGCGCTCTTTTTAGTTCTCAATCAAAATTGTATTGTATATGGTACTCGCCACTAAGCTGAAAAAATTCCTTAAAGTTCTGTACACAGAAGTATAGAGTTTCAAAAAAAGAACGTCGTATTTTTGCTAATTAAAATATCAACTATACTGCCTCCTGATTGGTTAAATTGATCTACAAGTCTTGCAACCGGGCCATAAATCTTTATGAAAAAAAAATGATTAGTTAAAATATATGCGGTACTTGGCTAAGGTCTATTGTATATCATTGGTTTTTGGTTTGTAGCGTTTGTTTGGCTTTCGTCTAGGTATATGAAGAGGCTGTACAGTGGAACCTTTGCCCACCCTAATAAATGGGTTAAATTTTTTTTTTTAATTTGGTACATTAAATATTGGCGCTGTTTAATTATTTTAGACCACGAGGCTTTGTCGATTACGCGTAAATACGGTACTCGAATTTAAGAACCCTCATTATACAAAGACATTTGCATAAAATACTGTTGTAATGTTTCTTATCCTTTGTAAAAAGTCTTGCAGTTTTGTTAATATCTGTGAAGTACCACATCGAGTATATAGAAATAGAGACGAAATAAGGGCCATATATTCCTGGTAACACATTAGCGGTACAGCTCTTATAAATATCAACTCTCGTTTGCACTGAAATATAGACAGGCCAACTACTGACCTGTGTGTACGTCTTCGTATATTCCAAAAAATATTCTGTATTTATTGTAAGTAGCCATTAAGGAAATAGAACAGAATACTTGAAAAGAAATTGATATCTATCTTGTATTGCCTCAATTTTATGAAGGAACACAGAGACCATGAGTTGTTAGATAATGATAATAATTCATTATCACCGCGTTATCAATTCTCAGTATTACATAGGGCCCGCTCGCCTCGCAAAGGTAGAACACTTAAAGAGTTAAAACGCTACAATCCGATTCCAAATTCACATCACAGTAATAATAAAATGAGGAAAATTAATGACCGATGTTGTTCATCTTTCATTAGCAAAGGGACCATACACATAACTCGATTAGCAATGGCTTCGTTAACAAATTTATTCTCCCAATTTAGGTGGTACATAGTTATTGAATGCAAATGTTGTACATATCGTCGCCTTACTATTAAAACCTTCGTGTGCGGGTGCGGGTGCGTGTGCTTGCGTGCGTGCGTGCGTGCGTGCGTGCGTGCGTGCTTGCGTGTCTGTGTGCGTGCGTGTGTGTGTATGAGTGTGAGTGAGTGTGTGTGAGTATACACAATACATTTCCTGTAACATTTTACAAAGTGCACATAGAAGGTTTTAAGGTGGCGATTTGCCATTCGCCCTTTGCTACTGTTATTTTACAACTTTTCTAGAACAGCTAGACGAACACGTAATGTGTAAATGAAGACATCACCGCCGTACCATATTGTACAAAACACACTGCGTCAAAGCAATGTTACTACAAACTTTTGCAGTATTTATAAGTCTGTATATCTTGAGTCACTATTTCATTAACGTTTTTGATATAAGATTTCATAAGGTGCCTACACACTTGCTCAGATTTTATCGACCGTTACTGGCGCCTATTAGCGATCGGTAAATAGTGAAAAATGAAACAATATTTAGTATAGGTAGTGTCTTTTTAAAGATGGAGTACAATAACATTTGCAGGGTTACCAGTTTTCGTAAAATTTTAAATAGTCATGTGGTAGTTGTCGACAGTTTTATCGATAGATTATGAAAAGGACTGAATTGTGAATGTTACGAAGTTCTAATGACTGCTTTATTGCTAATTGCTTTATTGTATTCTTATTTTAACAGTAGGTCTATTAGTATCAATATCAATTTTTAGTCATGCACATTTTAGTAACGACAGGCGGATTTGATTATGTGTGAACTTTAAAATATGTCTCCTATTTATATTTTTAATACACAGACTTCTTTAGTGTATGTATGAATTAATTTTGAAAATCAACCTGTGCCCGTTAGTGGGAGGTATAAAAAGCCGATGATGAATCAAAGAAAATAATTTCGCATATTTATTACATAAGCGTAACCAACGTTCAGTCGATAGTCGATGTAATATTTATCGACTGCAATCACTAGCTGCTTGCAAACGGGCAACACTTTTGCACAATGTAGTGTCATTTTACTCCGTCTTCAAAAAAGACAAGACTATAGATATCACCAGGTTTATCGATCGACAAAAACGATTCACAGTGGCGATCCTTTAGAAACACGATATCGATCGTCTGTTACTTCCACATTTACTCCTTTATTTTATCACGCGTGTCGATGGTCAAAAAAATCGAGCATGTCTCTAGGCACCTGTAGAGAAGTAGTCAGGTATATGTACAAATGGACAAGTGTTGACACGCGGTATGTACTTTAGTAGCGCATCCGTGTCTATTGAGGCTACCCCTGCGTACAACGACGACGTCCCAGATCCAGAGCCTGAGCCTGAAGTTCCGTGGGTCCAGTTCACGATACCCAGCGCGACATGCGAAGACCGCGTCGAAGAAATATATGAAGACCTCTGCTACGTCAAGTTTACCTCCGCCACGCCCGAGGATGTTAGTGTTAGGGTTTTTTGGGATTGGGGAAAAGTGCTGTTCTCTGTGTGATAAGGCTTATTTTACTGTTGTTGGAAATACTGGTTTAATACGACGAGCCTTATCGTTTCTCTATATAGTTAATTTTAATCGATAAACACCGCACCGTTGGTAAAACTATGCATACTGATTTAACTTAAATTTTTATTGAACATGAGGTACGTTTATTCAAAAACTCACTATATAAAAAGTAAAGATGTGGACGGGGATACCACACGCTTACGTACGTACGTAGTACATACCTAGTCACTCTGACCTTGAAAATCTACAGGACTCAGAACTCTTCGATATTTTAACCGAATCGTTCGATTGGATTTCCTAATGTAAATTTGTAATCTTCTGTACAATGCTTTACGTAAGAGTTCATCCAGGGAAGTACTCTGTCGTCGTAAGTTGAAAGAGCGCATGTGACATTTTTTTAAAACAAAATGTTGTTTATACTGACGTGATCAGTATCCGAGATACCGATTTGTCACTATTTTTATTTTTTTCCTTGGTGGATAAGGTATGAAGTTAACACAAGAGAAAAGAGTATATATTTTTAATTTAATTTCTTTAAACATTTCTTTCTCGGTTTTGAGTTTTTGTCACAAGCGCCCTTTTAACGGCGGCAGTACTGTTACCATACCTAATCCTGCCGCCCAGCAGTAACGTGAGCATTACTGCCTTCCGGTTTTGAAGGGTAAAGGTGCTGATGCCTTGTCAACTCTCATGTCTCAGGGTGACGGGTGCAGTGGCAGTGCCCACAGACATGTGCCCCTCAGATATTTGCGATTTAAAACTTTAACGAGGCACGGTTATGGACAGGCTGTAGCTTTCACGGCGCACGAAGTGTTCGTCTCTTGATTTCATATCATGAAAAACTTTTATATCGTTTTTCTAAAATCAGTAAAGGCTAATTCATTCGACGCTAAAAGGTTGATTATTGGTATTTAAAAAAAAAGAAATGCTGGAGGACAATATCGTAAGCCCGTATTATGAGCTCTTAGCAACTAAATAGGTCGAGTGCCATCCAATTTACAGTCCAATTAGCACACAATACTGTATTGATTTTGTCTCTCCAAAATAGCCTTACCAATATGAGCGGCGTCGTAATCAGAGATCAGAATAGGCAGTTTTTATTTACCAAAACCTCGAAAGATTTACACATAAAGTGCACTCATAATGCCTCCCTAAAATCCCGGAATCATTGTATTTTGTTGTATATTTTTGATGTGTAATTGGCAATTACTTTACGTAAGTAAGAGCGTTAGCTTACTACGTCCGATTATAATAAGTTCCGATTTCGAGAACTGACGGTCCGAAATGTCATAGGAATAATTTTTTTATCTCTAGGTTTACGAGCGATATTCGTATCTTCTCGGATTCGAATTGGACTCCGAAGTGGTTCCGAGATTTCCAGATTCTCTAATGCTCAGGCCACACAGCCCCATATCTTTCACGGTAGTTTTGATTATAGTGACCCTCCCTACCGATCCTTAGGATATACCAGAAGGGCCTACTATGGCACACTATGGCACACTATAGCCTGTGCGTCTGAACCCGCACAGGGACCATCTAAGTCAGGTCCTAACCCCGGATCAGCGCGTTTGCACGGACTTCATCCGGTTCTCTGTAAGGCTGAAAGGGTTGTAACAATAAAAAGGTAAATGTAAAAAAACAGGTACAATAG